CAAATTTTATTAAATACTACGTATAAACATTATACAATTAAATCAATTAAAACATAATATACAAAAATTATAGTCTAGTAACGTAACTTAAGTAAATACATAAAATTTTTGTTGAGAAAAAGAGCAATGTATATATCATGAATGATGTATATGTATATGCGGAAATTTTCCCGACTCTAGTTTTTCCTTCTAGAAAAATAAAATAAAATAAAATAAAATAAAATAAATTATTGTACAGGTTTGTTAATGCTTTGTGTGAAAAACACATCAGTCATACAAAAGAAAATAGCAAGATTAGTTTGCTTTTTGTTTTTACAAAGAAGAATTTCTTAAATATATTCAGTGTTCCGCAAATGAGTCCACTGATTCATTGTAAATCGACGAGCTATAGGACTTTCGCTTTTCTTCACGTGACGATATTATACTACAACGAGTCAGAAAATATGAATTAAAAAGGCGAAGGTCAATATTCATAATACATTGGGCGAGAACAAAATAAGGCTTCAATAAAAAACAAAAATTTACCTAATATTGTCTTTGATATCTGAACAAAATCAAATAACAATAATCAATAAGTATTTCGAATTTTCATTAAAAAGAATTCGTTAGATTAAAAGACAACGAATAGATACCATTTTTCGCCATGGCTTTACATTCGGGCGAACAAAATCTTGAATATCCGGTAAGATTTTTCTTGCACGATTTCTGCTTACAGTACTGACACGTGGGTACTTCCTTGTGTGACTTCGGTAGCTTTGAATTTCTCAGGGATGCAAGTCTGCCAGGTAACCTTATAGATTTCTTGCTAGTTATACTTTCGGATGATGATTTTAGAGGTTTTTGTTCTTGAACGGGAATACTCGGCAAAGGTTTGGACACGTTGTAGATGCTACTTCGCTGATTCACCGGGTCAACACTTGTGATCGAAACGGAAGAATAGCGTGGATTAATGGACCCCGATGTGTACACATTCCCTATCGATGCTTGTGAGCTAGATGCTTTCAAAGGGGGAACACTACCGAACGATTCCTGACTTATTGTGGAGTATCGCTTGTAAATTGAAGGACTCGATACATTTTGATCTTCGTAATATTGAGTTTGTCCGGGAGTCGAGATCGGAGTCGGGTGGACTTGCTGAGACATGAAAACTCCGGAATCTTCAGAGGTTCTGATCACATGGGGAGATACGGCGGGCGCGAGGTGCGGCTGCATGACAAGTTGCTGAGGTCGAACCCGTTGAGGATAGGTTTGTTGTTGTGATGACGACGGTGAGGCCTGTTGATCCCAATCGATGGTTTCTTCGGGGCAATTTGATAGGCCAACATTAGGTTCCATCGTTTGTTGTGGTTGCGCGTGCGTATAGGTTGAATATCTCACGGTAGACGTGGACATAGGTATACTTCTATCTGCCATCGAAATTCTGTTGGAATATCGGTATGGCGAGACCTGTACCGTTCTGTTGAGTGATTCTTGAGAATCAGAGTTACGTAGTTGGTTCGGCTGGTAGCTCCTCGGCTGTGTCAGTGTGATAGGCGTTGATTGTGATTTCAAGCTCATCCTTCGTGGTATGCCCACTTCGTACACTTTACGCCCTTGGTCGTTGCGTAACTCTGCACGTTGTATTTTGACATCCTCGAGTTCCTCCTGAATTTGACCAATTTCTTGTTGGCTCCTTAGATCATCATTCTCCAAAATTATGGTAGTCATTTGTTCTTTCAACTCGTCCTGTCCACACTTGACAGAGTTCTCCATCTTATCGTTTGGCTGAATGATCACACGAGGTTCGTCATTTGATTGCCCGGAGAGTGTTTTTTCCCGTGACTCGGGAATATCATTTTTCACCTCCGATAATTCCGCATTGACGTTACCCGACAGATTACGCAGCCGTTCAAGTTCCGCGGCGATGTCATAATTTTGTCGCTGTAACCTATCATTTTGTTCATTGAGCGCACGGCAATGCTCGCTCAATCGATTTATTTCTTTGGTGAGACCGCTATTCAAAGATCTCACTTCTTCCTTTTGCCGATTGATCACACCATTCAGCTCATCTTGGACTTGACCAAGTTGGGTTATGAGCTCACTATTTTTTCCCGATACTTCATCACGACTCCGAGTAATTTGATCCAATTCTGCTTGCAACCTCCCTATCTGTGAGATTAGAGTGTTGTTATTGTTTATAGACTCATCTCGATTTTGGCATACGATATCCAATTCTTTTTGAAGCTGCGACATTCGAGACGAAACTGTGGTGGTTTCACTTGCGAGATCGTCTCTCTCCTTTGTTACACGATCATAATTTACCTGCAGTTTTTCAAGTTGTGAAACCATTGCAGTATTTTTATTCAGGATTTCATTATGTTGCGATGACAATTCTGATTGCTTGCGATTCAGATCATTCAATTCCTCTTGCAATTTTATTAACTGAGATGACGATGCACAATCCTTGGCTGATAATTCCTCCCGCTGTTGACAGACGAGGTCATGCTCTTTCCTCAATTGTTCAATCTGTGATATCAAGGAGCTCTTTTCATTCGATAAATCCTCTTGTTGCTGAACGAAGGAAGCCAGCTTCACTTGTAATTGCTCCACTTGTGACGTCGTTAATACGTTCCTTCTTGACAACTCGTCACGGTCCTTGCGGATTGCGTCCACTTGCGCGGTCAAGGAGTTATTAAGATCCACCGCCGCTTTAAGGTTGCCGGTCACCTCATCTCGGTGTTCACTGATGTGATTGCATTCGCTTTGTAGATGTTCGAGTTGTAGGGTCAATGAATTGAAGTTGGAAGTGACGACATCATTTTGACTTATCAGTTCATCCCGATGTCGACGAATTTCGGCGCATTCGCTCTGCAGTTGCTCTAACTGTACCATCAAAGAATTCTTCTTTGTTGTCATCTGATCGCACTGCTCGCGAATCATGTCACGCTCATTTTGCAGGTTTTCAACCTGGGACTTGAGCAAGCCATTTTCATTGGTTAGGTCATCACGCTGAAGAGCGAGTTCATCCAATTGACTCTGCAACTTCTCCAGCACTTCATTGGGGCCACCTATGCGCGTGTAGGATGAGTCCATGTCACGTGGCGTTTCCGTGACATCTTCATATTCATAGTCATTGTTTGCGACTCCTCGATCGGTTTTTCGTGCGGAGAAATCATCGGTCAGTTGAAGTTTTGCGTCGCTGTTTCCTTGCGAAGTGGGATTTTGCAATTCTGTCGACGTTACGGTGGTTGTACTCTGGCAATCCTCGTCTTCATCACCGAATTCGCTACCAGCGAATTCGGACACGGTGCTTTCGGAGGCGGTGCTGTCGGATTGTCGATGCCTTATCATGTTATTCAAATACTTATCCAGTTCATTCCGCAATCGATCGGTCTCGGATACAAGAGTGGAATTCTGAATCTTTAATTCGTCACGCTGTTCTCGCAGTCGTTCAGATACTTTGTGCTGCGCTTCTAATTCCGAGATTAGCTTGGAGTTTTGTTGTCGAAGCCGATCCGATTCGGCCAGCATCGAATCCGACTTGGAAGAGAGGTTTGAAATTTCGCTCGATAAACCATCACGCTGTTTAACAAAAAAGTTTAACTCGTCTTGCAGTCGACCCATGCCGGCAGCCAGGTTATCATTTTGTTTACGTAATCTCGCGGCCTCCTCGCGAAGACTCTTGTTCTCAACATCGACCTCTTTCATCTGATTCTTTGCGGTGTTCAACTCCAAGACCAATTTTTCATGACCGGATAAATTTTCTTGAACTTGACTCAAATATAATTCCAGTAATTGATATCTTCCCCGGATGTCGTCACGCTCTTTATTGGATTGAGTGGCGATTGTTTGGAGTTGTTGTATGCTATTTTGTAAGCTTTCGTTTTGCACCTTCAAGCTCTCACGTTCTTTAAAGACGTAGTCAAACTTGTTAGATTGTTCTTTCAACATCTCTACCCGAACTTCGAGATTGTGGTTACGATACTTCAGATCGTCACGTTCCCAAAGCAGTGATTTAAGCTGTTCGGATTGATGGTGCGCATAGGATTCCAGGTCGTGCAACCTTCTGGCCATCTCTATGGACAAATATTGACCGTCGGATATTGAGGCGGGGGTGGACATCCAGGTGGTGGTCGAAGAGAGGGGGGTTGACACCGCGGTGGTCATAGTCATGGTACCGGGACCTGCACCGCTGGGGTGGTGAGAATAAGGTTCAATTTCTATTATGAAGTCGCCGCAGCGTTGATGAATGTTCTTGTGGTTCCCCGGTTGCATGATTGAAGCGGCACCGTAGTTACTTGTGGTCAGCGAACGATCAGGAAGTCTTGGGAGATTGTAAAATTGACGAGTGTTTGGATTTCCTATTGACATGATAATTTCGTAATTTATTATTTGTGACAACGGTGCACCCGTTGATTACTGTATTGTCATTACCTCTTCGGCTATTAACGCTACTGCTCGTCATGACTTATTCTTCGGCAAGGGAAAGAAGGTCCGCGTCATATGATGGGTGTAAAAACACAAGGGGATGTTAACCGTCTAACTTTCTTCGCTTTAAAAAATGAATAAATAAATAGATGGAATAAAAATAAATTTTCTTTTCGAAAAGTTTTAATGCGGTAATGAGTTTGCTGTAGACAATTTGGAGATGAAAGGAAACAAGAAAAATTCCGAGTACGGGATTAAATAGAAATATAAAAAAAGAAGGTTAACAGTAAATGACAGGAAGTTCAATATTGGTCCAGAGAAAACTCTGAAAAGAGCATTTAAATATTCATGCATCTAAAATTATATTAGCGAAACTGTTTTCATTGACCATTGTCGTACTAACATATACTTTGGTTAATTAACGAAATAAAAAAAAAAAATTTTTTTTTTTTTTTTTAAATTAAATAAAACTGATAAATAAGTATTAAACTCTATTTGTGTCTATACAGGCTGGCTCCGATATTGTTGGATATTTTATTTCTTTAACTGGGAATATCATAATCACAACCACCCAAACTAGCATACATTGTATCTCGTAGACACGAGACTACTAACAATCATGTAGTTACCGTTATTCGCTCACACTAGTGTGAAGTTTGATGTGTACGTGCGATACACGAGAAATCAACAGCGGCGTTACAAATACGGAAAAGGACGATGTTGAAATACACAGAGAGGTTATTGGTGTGATTAGATTAAGCATAGAAAAAAAAAAATTTTTTTTTCGAGGCATTGAATATCCCGACCGCCGTTTGGTTCTCGTGTTATATCGCACAATTTTGACTTCACTGTGTACGTACGATTAACGTTAGCGTTAGGGTTTTCAATTTTCGGCTCCGTCTAATTATCATAAATTCCGACGACAAAACTCAACTATTCACAAACAAAGATTAGAAAATCGAAACGAAACACAATAATCGATCATCCCTACCCCTTACTTCTCAATAGATAGATAGAAATAATAAATATGATACATCATTAGGCACATCCTTCCTAGATTAGATGCTAACCTGGAAGAATAACTCGAGGGTCGGTTATGACAATTGAAGGAAAGAAATCAGTTCCTTTTAGAGAATAAAATATGCAGTGTTTTTTCTTTGTGTCTGGGTCGAGGATATGGTACTGTAAATGATGCTCCTTAATTTTCATACATACTTACATACTGTATACGTGTCATGCACGATGATATACTTGATGTTTCAAGAAAAAGGAATCAAGGGTAAAGCGGGTAAGCAGTATAACATGGACGCGATGCACCTTGCCGCAAGTCGTGCAATGTGTGTAACTCGTACTCTTCGACCTTCTTCTTATCCATAAAAATTTTTCCTGCCAAGCCATCAGTAGAGCACGCATTGTTCCCAAGGGCAGATAATGACGCCCAAAAAAAGGAAAGAAAACATCGACTGCAATGTTGCACCCTGAGATATTTTTATCGCAACAGATTACTGTATCTAATTTCAGACCTGCTCGCCAACAAGAAATTCATCAATAAAATTCTTTATTCAGATTTTACGTACGTATGGCACATCACTAACAAAAAATTCCGCAGTAAAACGGGACATGTTTCAACTTTTTTTTATTGGTTTTGAAACTAATGAGGACTTATAGTGCGCACGTAGGTATCTCGCGTGTCAGCATGGAAATCAAAGATCTATCTGCTTGCAAAACCATTTCGAATTTGGGATCTACTGTTTGACGCTAGCCCTGCATCGTTTGTATTCGTAATATCAAGAAGCGATGTCTCACCAGCCCTTGCGCCTGCAAGTTTGCAAACCTTGAGATTCGACTTGTGGCTCACGCTACTTAAAATTTTACTAATCTTCGATAACTTTATCGTACATGCCATCTACTCGCTACATACATAGGTTCATTTAGCATCATCCACGGTCTCACAATAAGTGTGAGTCACGCAAGTTTTAGAATGCGCCAACTTTACTTTTCAGAAAATTAAGTAAATTGACCATTTTCGGATAATAGAAATTCTTGTATTATGTAATCTCCGGTGACGTAACTTTGACTTTATTGTACGTGTATTGTAAAAAAAAGATACACACAAAGCATCGATATATTTGGAAAGTTGTTTTTGTTATTCTAAAAGCAATTTATTTTAGGAAACCTAAGTTTCCGTTCTTTTCTTCCATAACCACAAAAAACAGGAATGGTTATGCGTAAGACGAGATAAAGACATTCATAATTCCTTTATAATTTCAACTAGTGAACTTCGGACTTTCCGATGTGAGAATGTTCGAAGAACTCTTATTCTACGAGTCATTTCTCAACAAACATGGTAATGCATTAATACTATTGTATGGTCAAATTCACGTGAAGCCACGGCCAGCTGTCGTGATACTCGAGATTAGGAGTTCGGCATGGCTGTGGTGGCTTTGAAGGGAAAACGGATGCCCAAATTCTGGAAATTAATTTAGACGAATCCCTCTGCGTGTGGAATTCAATTAAATAAAAAATCTTTTTTTTTTGGAAATTGAAAATAAGGGTCGAAAAAGTTTTCAATCTTGTTCGAAACAAGACACGAATTTGCATCCTTCAACACGAGGCTTAGACTCTCAAGAGATGAAAATTTTTGGTTTCACATTTCAATTAAAGATTAAATAGATGCATGCGCCTATTTCGCGTTGCCGTAACGATTATATGACAAGGTGAAGATGAAATCGGTTTCGTGCGTTTTGATTCGTTCTTAATCCTATCGCTTATTGATAAATAATTTAGTTATTGATGCAAATGTATGGGCATGATAATTGCTGCAAGATACGTGTAATTTCTCTCTGAAAGCGAAACAATGATATTACCATGTTGTGGATTTATTTTCTTTTTTATGAGACCCGATTAAGTTTTTTTTTCTTGCACTCACAGCCACGGAAGAACCCATGCCAACTCCGATCTTTCATGGTGCATATCAACAACGAATAGCTCATTTAAAATAAATCAATGGGTTTCATCATAAATGATAATTATTTTTTATATAAAGTCAGCTTAAATATAGTTTAATTAATTTACAGTATCATAATGTTTATAATCATTGGCTTTGACTTTATGAAAACAATCAAACTATTTATTGCATCGATTTATGCACTGTATTGTGTACAGGTTTTGCGTATAATTAAGTTATAAATTTAATTTAAATTTAAATTTATACGATATTTTGAAACCTATTTATGGATTCATTTACTTATTCATTTTAATTTTATATAATTTATTGTTATTTAATACTAGACAACAATAGTATGGTTTGAAAACATCAATAATAGATTGATATTAAAGCAATATACAATAGATATCATTAATATCTAAAAAAATTTTTACATCAAATTTTAATTATTTAATTTTATTTCTCTTGATTAATTACAATTTTTTTTGTTCAATGATAATTTATTAAAAAAATTTTATTTTTATTTTTATTTTTTTTTGAGTACCCATAGTCAGGTTAGATTGTCAATTTATTAATCAATTGAAAACAAAGTATATTTTTATTCGAGCAGCATGATACATAATATAGCTAAACTATTATTCTAATCTAACTAACTTATTATAAACATAAAAATCTTTAAGTTCAGCCTTGGAGACAATATTTCACTTTGCAGTATCTTTGAGTAAAAACCCTTCTAGTCTACTACATCATTGCTAGCAGGTTGTCACTATCATATATTGAACCAAGCCACTGGATATAGGAAATTACAAAAGAATGAGTTGAAAAAAAGGAGAAAAAAATATTTAAAAATATCATAATAGATAACAAGAAAATGAAAAGATAAAAATTGAAAAAAATTTTCAGCTTTCTCTAAAGACCTACTTTTTAAGATCTCTTCTCAATAAGAAATATCTGATTGGAATATCCTTTTTTTTCCTGACTATCTAAAAAACTTATTCATTCTTGATCTTGATTTCCTTCTTGTGTACCATCTGAAGAAACTTATTATATAGTGAAAGCCTTTACTTCCAGGATACACTTGGTCCCAATCTTTTTTGAACAATGATTTTTTATTCATCTATAGTAAAGAGATGACTTATAATAAATCCTAGGTTCTTATGTAACCTAATAGGAACTAGGTCATATTGTTTCAATATAATACCTTTCAATAGCCATACCTAATTAAAGAAAATTTACTAATATATATCTTTTATTACCCAAAAGATCAGATTTCCCAATAATCCTTTTGCCTTGTAATAGTGGGAGGATCTCGAAAGTGATGGGAATCCTCGTTGATTATAATATTATTTAACAACTTTTGGAGAAATAAATTCTCAACTGTAATCAAAGAGTTGAAGTTTAGTATGAACTAGAGCCTGTTCAATCTTATTACCTGATTAGAATAAAAAGAAGATATTGGTCTTGAACTTTGTCTGACAGGATAATAGAAAAGAAAGATCTTAGCTTAAACAAATAATAGCTTTTTTACTATCTGAAAACTTGTTGCTCATATTTTATTGACCTCATGGAACTTGATCTGCAAACTAACCCAATTAGAAAAGTGGGATAGACATAGATACCAATCAACTTTTTCAATTATTATAATATTATTAGAACATGTAAGGTAATCAGTAGAAGCTTGTCTATATTCAATTACTAACGTGTTTTGTATCAATCAATCAAATATCAGGTAATATTGTACTATTGAAAATTCAGGATCAAACTAAAGTAGGCAAAATACTCCAAGAAAATCATAAAAAAATAGTAAACACTTTAAAAAAATATAAGACTATATGTGAGAAGATGAATAATAAACCTTCTCCTATTAACAAAATCTCTATTTCTTGTTGCTTCTAGCTTTATAAAGTGATACTCCACTTGTTAATTCTTTTACTTCCTAGAACCTTCTTGCCTTTAGTAGAGAAAATGCATATTTGAGTCTTTTTAGATCATTAAA